CTTAACATGTGCCTCTTGTCATGGATTCAGTGGGCCATGTGTCCTCTGAAATTCCACATCAACTTGGCTGGGCTGTAATCCTCAATGACTTGGTAATTATGCAATGATATGTGCTGGCTAATCTGTAATGTTGCCATCACCCCAGTGATCACCTCTTCTTCTGTCTTACAAGAGATGAAAGAGAGATAAGCAGGCAGACAGATAGAAACCTCAGAACAACCAAGCAAGAAGTGTCAGTAGCAGGATTTGTTCTCTGGAACCAGGGTTGCCCGTGCTAAGAACTTCCTCGACTCAGAGAAAGACTGACACCAAGATGCACGGAGATCTCCAGCAATGTTGGACCCACAGATGTTAGAAGGAGACAAGGACCTTCTGTCAGAACTGCCACAGAGAAAGCTTCCTTCTACAACTGATGGTCTGAATTTGGACTGCTCGCTTACTAAACCTGTCTGATTGTCAAAGCCATCCACGTGGGGTATTTCTGTTGTAGGTCACTGGATGACTGAGACATGTGGCAAGCCTATGTAAGTGGTGTGGTGACTTTATAATCAGTTTGTTGATGCCTGGGGGCAGCATCTAGGACCTCTGAGGAAGCAGTGTCTGGAGTGTATCTTTGCTTGTACTGTTTACCACCTTGGATTATACTGTCCTCCCTCCCCAACCAAAGCTGCCCAAATCTTTGGGAGCCAATTGAAGTCCGATATCCTTCTGACATGAAACTTTCTCAGGTCTAACTGTACTTCACTTCTTGCTCTTTTATCCCTTTTTCAGCCCTATTCAGTGAACTTAAACCTTGTATAAGGGCAGGTTTCTCTGCATTACTCAGCTACATCCCATGCATATTTTTTTTATCTATTCTGAGAATGTTTGTCTTGTGTCTGATGAGATTTTTTGAGAGTGGAGGAAAAAGTAACATACATACAGTGTAGTATTTGTATTTGCATTCCCTTCAGTACTGCATTCTCTTGAATGGCAGAACTAATTTCCTTTCACTAGCATGTTAGCATGCATAGCCAGAGGTTCACTTTCTCCTGATGAATCTGACTACAGAGGTGAAAGCTACTCACACTGTTGCCCTTTGGTTTCTTCCAGAATGTTCTTCCCAGGAAACCATCCTGTCAGAGGGGTGCAGGTGATGAAAGTTGGCAAGCTGCAGTTGCACCAAGGCCTGTTACCCCAAGCAAGGAAGAATCTGAGACTGGTGAGTTCCCCCAAATCTCACATAGTTCTACCTGCCAGATAATCTTAATGAGTGTTACTAGACCTCTTCTTTGTAATTCTTATACACGTGCAGATTCATAGCACCCTCACAAAGTACTCATCCTAAAAAAGGCTCTGATTTGCCAATTCCAGTGCTATAAATATGTCAGCTGTGGTTGGTTTCAAGAAACCAATGTGGAAGGCAGTTCTGGTGGCCTCGTGGCAAGAACTGTGCTGTGATCCCAAAGGCATGAAGTTCAAATTCACCAGCTGCTCCATGGGAGAAGGATGGGCAGTCTCCTTCCATGTGATTTACTGCCTCTGAAACTGACTGGAAGGTCAGCTATGAATTGGTTCTGATTCAACAACACACAGTGACAAAAATGCAGAAACAACCCGTTTAATAGCTCTTCCACGCTGCTGCCAGGAAGCCTTAGTGGTTACCAGCTGCACACTTTTCTACTCGATGGTGAACAAGGAGCCCTTCTCCCCACCCGCCTACCTGTTGTCCACGGAACACAGTCCGCATTCCATGCAGGTCTGTCACAACCCATGACTCTTTCTCTGGTTTTTAGTAGACTCCACACAGCCTTTTCCTGTCTACACACCCACTGCAACACCAGCCCGCTCACTGTCACGAGCACGCTGCCTCAAGAGGTCACCTGACACGGTAGTGCTCACCTTAGATCTGTACAGACCTACTTCCTGTGCTTCACATGCCCTCCTCACTCATTCCCGACAGAACCCTGTTGTTGTTGTTGTTGTTGTTGTTGTTGTTGTTGAGTACCATTGAGTTGGAAGCGACCCATAGCTGACCTCCAATGTGTTTCCAGAGGCAATTAATCACATGGAAGGAGATTGCCTATCCTTCTCTGGCAGAGCAACTGGTGGATTCGAACCACATGTCTTTGGGATTGCTGTACACCTTCTCACCACTGGGCCACCAGAGTTCCCACCTGATCCTTTAAGGCTCAGGTGGGATGTTGGTTCCTGTTTGTGCAACCACAGTCGGTAAAGCACTCGTGACATTGTAGTGGGTGGTGGTTTCATCACACACACACACACACACACCCAGCTCCTCTCCCTGGGGATCTGTCTTTGTGATTCTCTCTATAATCAGTACCACATCAGTCAGATACATGCAGCTTGGTAAGTATCTCTGATTCAGTAGGGAACAGCTCAATACATTCCTAGCAATAAGTGGTGAGACACTAAAGAGTGAGGCAGGTCGGTTTTGGAAAACACTGAAAAGTGTCTGTGTGTTTTCACCATCTCAGTGGGCCCCTCTGCCCTTGGAGGCCAAGGCTTTCTGCTGTTCCCGCCTACTCCTAGAGGGGGTGATGTGTGCTACTGAGTTGGAACTGAAGCGTAGCTGACCCTCCAACAGGCTTCTAGAGGTAGTAAATCACACGGAGGAAGATTGTCCATCCCTCTCCTGTGGAGCAGCTGGTGGATTTGAACCACATGCCTTTCTGATTGCAGCACAGCCTCTTACCACTTGGTCACCAGGGCTCCCTACCCTTTGTCCTGACTGCCCATCATGGCGGTGTGCACTCTTACCCAATCCTTGGTCTTCCATGTAAGAACCAGCTTGCTCATCTGACACAGATGGCAGTTCATGGAGAAGCCTCATGTGGGGAGCCCCAGACGCTTTCATGACATCCTGTGCATGACGAGATCCTTGTCTGTGGAATAGCTTCTATGGAGCAAACCAGGGCCCTGTGTCAGGCCTGGTCAGAAGGATGCAAGAAGTAGCTGGTCTTACACAGCTGCTGCTTACGTTTCCAGGAGAAAAAGGACTGATGCTGGCACATGAATTCCTTTAATGCTGGTTTTATTACTTGTTTACCATGATGCCTGTTCCTGGTCTCTTAATTGAAAACAGCCAATAGTCAGAAGGAAGAACACCAGGACGTAGAGGAGGAATGGGCACTCGCACCGTGCCAGGTGTCTTTATGTAGACCTGTGGGAGAGCGCCTAGCATCCCTCCATGTGCAGAGAGAGCTTTCCCTGGCTGACTTGTCTGGTAGCTGTGAGCCAGTCAAATCGGGCAACAGATACTTCTTGATAAACATTGAGTGAAACTTTGGACAGAAAAGTAATGTAGAGAACATTTTTACATCCTAGAGTACTGGACCCAGGATTACTTACAAGTTGGTTTTAGAAGTAATTGTGTTTATGTAGGACTTCCTGTTGTTGTTAGGTGCCATTGAGTCAATTATGACTCGTAACGATCCTATGAACAATGACTCTGAGCCAACCAAATCATCTCTGACACACCTTACCCCGTTGCCACAGTCACTGTGTCAATCCATCTCATCCAAGGTCTTCCTCTCCTGTCTGTCTCTCCACCCTTCCAAGCATGATGTCCTTGTCTGAGGACTGGTCCCTCCTGACAGCATGCCCATAGTATGTGAGATGGAGCTTCAAATCCTTGCCTCCAAAAAGCAACCCAGCTTTCCTCTCTCTAGGATGGATCTGTTTGTTTTCTTTGGTAGCCCATGGTATGTTCAATACTCTTCTCCAACACCATAATTCAAAGTCAGTGATTCCTTTTCTGTCATCTGTAGTCATTGTCCAGCTCTGATGAATAGCAAGTAACTGAGAAGACCATGGCTTGGATCAGGTACACCTTAGTCTCTAGACTGACACTGTTGTTCTATAGGACTGGAAGGTGCTAATATTGCTTGTGAACTCATGATTTCATCCGGTCCTCATAAGAGATGACAGCTACATGAAGTTGCTGGGACAGACATTTTCAGTCTTGTTTGAAAACTGAGCTTCTCTAAAGTCACACTGAGGCAAAGCCAGGTCTAGTTTGTTCCTCTTAATCCAGCACATGTTCACTAAATGCCTCTATTAATCAGAATAACACCCAGTGTTGTCCTTACAATCCAGTGGAGGAGACAGGCCTGTGAACAAGTCATTAACTCTAGGCTGGAATCCAAAGCTCTGTTTTTTCCTCTGGGCTGGTCCAGTGAAACAGATGAGGCTTGCTGGAAGGGCTCAGCGGGTAGAAATCCTTTCAGAGCACTCTGTTTCTGATGCCAAGCCAGTGATGAGTGTGAGCAAGACATCAGAGGAGGCTGGCAAGGCTTCTGTTTGTTAAGTGAGGCTTCAGGAATTGCATGAAGAGTTCTTGAAGGAGACAGATATAAAGACAAGCCTTTCTAAACCAAGAAAACCATGGAGGTGCAGCTTTAAGGTGGTGGTCAGATGAGCCTCTGATTCTCCCAGTGCCTATTTCCATTTTCTGTCATCCTCATACCTCTTGGGAGGCTGCCTCACTTCTCCCAGGAGATTTCTTTGTCATTATTTTAGAATGTTCTCTTCTGACTAAAGACCAGGCCAATCATCACTCCAGATAGTCACCAATCAAGAAGTATTCTGGGAGCAACATAGGAAAGCCTGGGATTAATTTACCCCAAACCTCTTCTTTGACACTCTTGTTGAGTATCATCAAGTCAGAACTGACCCATAGCTGACCCTCCAGTGGGTTTTCAGAGCCAATTAATTGCACAGGAGGAAATTGCCCATCTTTCTCTGGTGGAGCAGCTGGTGGATTAGAATCACGTACCTTTGGATTGGCAGCATAATTCTTTACCAGTAAGTCACCAGAAAAGTCATCAAATCTTGTTTACAGGTTCTGATTATTGATCAAGAGCGAGTAGTAACTGTTCACCTGGGAAGTGTGGTGTAGCACAAAGAGCATTTGGATTTGGACTCTGTAGGTTCAAGTCCAGTCCCAGCATGTGTTAACTTTATGGTTTGAAAACTAAAAACCAAACCAGTTACTGTTGATTGCAGCTCATGGCAACCCTGTGTGTCTCAGAGCGGACATTTGTTCTTGGAGTTTTCATCAAATCTCTTAATTGTGCTAAAAATAATTTTCTTACTCTTTAAATAAGGATAGTTACTTGCAATCCATATAATTGTTTGGAGAATTAACTGAGATAGTGCAAGAATCACATCACCTTGGCCCAGGAAGTCTCAGAATAGAAAGGATTATAATTGCTCTACTCGAACCTTGGCCCTGCCCTGTGGCACCTGTGCTTGTGGTTGTGGTTGTACTGTGGTCTCTTGTGGAACATCACATTGCTTGTCTGCTTCCCACCAATCCTGTGCTTGTCTACCTAGACTGAGTGGGAGCTGCTCTAGGGACCCGGAACCCATATCTCCGGGTGCTCTGAATACAGCAGGTTCTGTTAAATATGTGGTTGAATTAAGGAACTTTAAAAAAATGAATTGTGGTCAGATGCCGTAAAGTCGAGCCTGACTCATAGTGACACTGTGAACAACAGATTTGAACGCTGTCCTGTCCTGTGCCATCCTCACAGTCTCTGACACACTCAAGCCCATTGCTGCAGTCACGGTGTCAATCCATCTTGATGAGCTCTTCCTCTCCTTTACTGACCCTCTGCCCTTCCAAGCATTATATCCTTTTCCAAGGAACAGCCTCTCCTAGCTTTTCAATCTATTTGTAGAACAGATCATCCAAGAGGCTGGTCTCTATGAAGAGGAATGTGGTATCAGGATTGGAGGAAGACTCATTAGCAACCTGTGTTATGTGGATGACACAACCATACTTGCCGAAACTGAGGAGGACCTGAAGCATTTGCTGCAGAAGGTCAAGGACTGCAGCCTTCAATGTGGATTGAAGCTCAACATCAAGAAAACAAAGATTCTCCTGACTGGGTCACATCTCAGCATCAGAGAGCTTGACAATACCTAAGGATGGTAGAAGAATCGGTATCATTGAGTTGTGCTAGAGAAGAGTATTGAATATATCATGGACTGCAAGGAGAACAAACAGGTCTGTCTTGGAGAGGGTGAAGCCAGGCTGCTCCTTGAAAGGTAGGATTTTGAAGTTCTGTCTGTCATACTTTGGGCATGTTGCAAGGAGAGAACAGTCCTTGGAGAAGGACATCGTGCTCAGAAGAATGGAGGGATAGTGCAAGAGAGGAAGACCCTGAATGAGACAGACTGACCAAATGACTGGGG